ACTCCTACAGTAAAAAGATAAAAGTTTTACCCAGGTAGTTAGCCAGGTAAGGATAGTACTAGAGGGTGATCAAAGATCAATTAAGTACCTCTTTCCTTACGGAGCGCTTTACGCAACCCCTAAACCTTGCCTTAGACACCAACTAATCTGAGAAAACTTAAACCGGTTCACTTAAGGATTTCTTGTTCCTTATTGAGCTCGAATCCTTAGGGGTCAACGTCTAATGAGTTTTATTAGGCTTGGATGGTGTAGTGAGGAATTAGTGATTTTTGGGCTAAGGAAAGGGTGATGAAATCCCTCACCTTATCTTGATTATGGGGTTTTTGCCCTTAAAATATTTTTAAGTGTGTGCCAAATCAAGATGCTCAAATCACTTGGTGAATTCCTACACTATATGAAATGCAACCCTATGAATTAAAAGCAACTAAAAAGGATGGAAAAGAAAAATCTTTTTTTTAAATTAGGGTTAACAATCAAACAAATGAGAAGGGGGGATTTGTTTGAATTTATTATCTTGTTAGTAAATGTCAAAGTGGAGGATGAATTTTATTATGGTCAACAAAAAATAAAATCTCTTCTTCTTTTTTAAGTCCTAATTGTCTCTAATTGTGAAGAAGTAGCTAAAGGGTGGAATTAAAAACTAGAAAGAGGACTTACCTGAAAGCAAATCTTCAAATCCTAGCTCTCCAATCCGCGATCTTCAAGCTCCAAGCGTTTCCTTCACAAAAAACACACAAGTTAAAGAACCAAAATAATTAAAACCTACTTAAGCACCTTCCCCGGCAACGGCGCCAAAAACTTGATGCGGCATAAACATGTACCAAAAAGGTTGCAAGTGCACAACCGTGTCAAGTTATAGTATTTAAGATATCGATCCCACGAGGAAGGTGTTTTGTAGGAGAAAATATAAAATCGGTTCTTATGTTGTGTGTGTGACAAGTAGGAGTGATAAGTGAATGTGATTGTGGAGAGATAGAGAGAGTGGAAGTGATAGTGTGTAAATCGGCACGAGATATAAGTGAGAGTGGATGTGACAAAGAATGAATATGATCAATAAGGCAAGAAGGAAAAGGAAAATAAAAATCAAGAATAAAGAAAATAAAATTCAAGAATAAAAGAAAATGCAAGAAATTAAAGATGGTGGATTCAATTATAGATATGGGTAATCTACAATTGAACCCACTTCTTAGAAAAGGGTGATTCCCTAGAGGGTTCTAGCCTAAAGGCGAATCAAACAAAATAAAAATAAACAAAAAGAAAAACTAAACCCAAGAGGGTTCTAGCCTCAAGGTGAATAGTATAAGAAATTAAAATCTAACTACAAAATAAATTGCAAAATCTAAACTACAAAATAAAATTATAAGAATTAAATGCAAGAAAATAAATCTATTCTATAAGCATGAAATAAATCTAAGGCAAGAGGGTTCTAGCCTCTTGGCTATTTAACAAGAAAATAAAATCTAACTACAAGCATAGAAATAAATCTAAACTAATAAGAATAAAAAAGAAAAAGAAAAGAAATGCAAACCTTCAAATAATTCTCCATCTTCATCTTCATCTTCATCATCCAATAAAGAGAAGAAGAGGAAAATTTAAAGTGGTGAAAAATTTATTATTATTAATTGCAATAAAAAGTTACAATTTTGGAAGGCCTTCTCAATTAAGAGTAGCCCTCCTCTCCAAAAGGAGTTACAAAAATTTTCACACCTCTAACCCCTCACTCTCAACCCCTATTTATAGTAAACATCAGTGAATGAGAGCCATTGGATTGAAATCTTATCCAAAAACAACAAATTTCATCAATGAATATGAGCCATTGGATTTGTCTTGAGCCCCAAGCATCAATCTCCACCTTTGAATTTGCTTTTTGTTCTTCTCTAGCCCAAACATAGGAGGCCCATTGATGTTTGTTCATTCTTCATTTGATTTTCGGCCCATTCTTCATTTCATTTGATAATCTGCAGCACAATAGTGTTCGGCCCATAAGATCCAAGCAATTAAAAGCAACCGGCCCAACTTGATTTTTAACTCCATATCCTATCAAGTCCGGCCCATTTTGAGCACTTAAAAGCCTGATCCACTCATATGTTTGAGCACTTAAAAGCCTGGTCCACTCATATGTTAAAATCCAAGTTCGGTTCATTTTGAGCAACCAAGCAAGTCTCCAGCAGTCCATTCATTTATTCACTCAGCAGTCCATTCATTTATTTTTCGGAAATTTTAACAATGCAGCTGGCCCAACAATCCATTCATTTATTTGAGGCCCAATTCAAATGTCTGCAGTCCATTAAACTTTCCTTGGTTTAATATTTTTGATGGGCTTTGGCCTTCAAGCTTTGAGAAAAAATAGGAGGAGCTGCCATGGATGTTTTGGGCTTTTAAAATCAAATATTTCACTTTGGCTTTTTATTTCTTCATTTACTCAAGGGCCTTTGTTGAGAGATGAGATTTTTAGGATTTATTCTTTATTAACCTGCAATTAAAGATAAAAGCAATTATTAGTGGTATATTTATTCATATAAAATAGATAATGAGGGTATAAAATTGTAATAAAATGTGATTATCAAACGAACAACCCCTTAGGGGGTTATTCATTGGTGTAATTTGGGGGATAATGGGATAATTTTTGGAACATCACTTTTTTGTGTTATTCATTGGAGTAATTGGAATTGGAGTCAACTTTGTGGTGTTATTGGTTTGTTGGGGTAATTGGGGGACAAATACTCCACTTTTCCCTAAATTACACCAACTATATAAAGATTCCCTCCACCCCTTCCTCATAATTATCCCAAATTTACTCAATCCTCCATATTGGAATAATGTTGTTCCACTTTGAAGACAAGTGGGATAATTTTAAAATATTTTTGTATTACTTAACTAATGCATGCTAATTATATTATAAATATATGACATGATATATAAAATATAACATATATTAATATTTTAATAACATATATTATTATATAATATATTATTATATAATTAATTTATAAAATATTATTATATTTATTATATATATGACATACTATTATAATATAATATAATAATTACTAATATTAGTAAAATATTATGATATAATATAATATAATACTATAGTTTGAAATAATATAATATATTATACTATAACATGATACCTATTAATATATATTATTAAAATATTATATATTAAATATATTGATCTTATTATATTAATTATTATATATAGTATAGCATGCTAATATAATATAATACAATACAATATAATAATTAATAATAGTAATTTGTAAGTATAGTATAATATATTATATTTTAATATAAAGTAAAATAATATTTATATTATAATAATATACTAAATAGTATACTAAACCAATTGGATAAGTTAATTTATAAGTAATTAATATATAAAATTATATTTTAATAAGGTGCCACATCATTAATTATCCCACATGAATTGTCAAATCAAATGCTAAAATTATCCCATTATCCCACTTTATCCCACTTTACCCCACTCAAAATATTCCAAAGGGGTAAAATTGTTCCATTAGGGGGGGGTTAGTCATCTAGAACTTAAAACTAGAACCGGGATAATTTGTGGGATAAATTTTTAAGATGTTAGTCACATAGAACTAGGAAATGAGATACTTTTTTATAGTGTTAGTCAAGTAGAACTTTTATAGAACTAGAACTGTATTGTGTTTTTGGTGCGTTAGTCAAGTAGAATTCTACTAGAATTAGAATTGGGATAATTGGTCATAATTATCCCACAAATTATACTACCTATATATATATAACCATAAGTTCTCCTCTCTCAAATTATCCCACATATTGGAAAGAATACAATTGGGAAAAAAAGTAAAACGACGCCTCCCTCCCTCTTGGTTAGTTTCTCCGCCTAGAAAATTTCTCTGTCATGAAGTCAATCATCCGTTTATTTTTTTGTCTTTACTTTGTTTTTGTGATGATTAGATCTTTTATTATTATCTTCAAGATGTATTACTTTATTGATAGCTTTTTGACGTTAAATTACTTTATTATTATTTGTTTGATCTAAGTTTTCTCTCCACAACAGTGGTTTAGGTTAAGAATATAGTGTTGGTGGGTTAGTGCTAAAGATATGCTGGCTATATATGTTTTTTTATAAGTTAGAAAGCAACTTTGCGATCACATTGATGATTAGATGTTGAATGGTTAATGGTGATATCTATTATCTATTATTATTAAATCGACTCAGTAAATTAATTAAGATATTTATAGTTCATCTGTCGATCATCTGTTTAGCGGCGATGGATGATTCCTATGTACATTTCATTTATTTGTTGATTTGGTTTCAGCGATCATGATGAGATTGGTCCAAAGGGTTAATGGCTAAAAATGCTTATTTTTCTTTCTTTATGATGTTATGAGATTTGAACTTCGACATTTATGATCCTCCGCTAGAAGCTCCACGAAATGTTGCTGATACAGACGATGACTCCGATAAAGAAGACGAGTTACAGACTCAACGAGTAGCTGTAGGAGCTTGGAAAAATTCTATGGCAGATGTCATGTGGGATGATAGAAGCCATGTGAGATGATGGAAGTCGAGTCACTCTAGGGATTTAGATTTTTATTTATTTGTAAATTATTTTATTATTTGAGATGAATAGTGATGCTTTATTGCATTATATTTTATAGTTATTACTAGAATTTGCTTATCAATATTATATTATTTTTAATATATAATTATTAACAATAGTAATTTATACCCACCATTACCCCCACCAAATTATCCTGCCAAATTATGCAACTTCATAATATTATCCATCATTATCCCACCAAATTATCCTATCAAATTATCCCACTTTAAGAATTACCAATCATTGTTCCACTAAATTATCCTAGTGTTAAAATATTATCACACTTTATAATTATTCCAATTCTACTTAAAAAGTTCTAGGTGACTAACCCCCCTTAGAACACTTTTCCCTCTTGCCCCAATTTGTCCCAACCAATAACCCCCTTAAGCAAAAGAAATATCTCACCCGCTCTCACATCAAATATTAACCCCACCCAGCACAGCTCTAAAACCCTAACCCTAGACCTCATTTTTTTCTCATCTCCCCTCAGCCAAATCGCCCACATCTCCCTCTGTCCTGAAACCTCTCTGATGGCGGACGGAACAGCGCAATACCCACCACCAACAGAAGTGGAGACCTCTCCCATGGCGGAAGAAACCACCGCTCCTCCAGAAGAATCGGTCCCAAACGAACCCACCGATGCTCCGCATGAGCAAGAATCAGAAGAAGGGAAAACGACGAGCGAGGTTCCTCCCTCGGTTCCAGATCTCAAGCGAAAGCTGGAGGATCTCGAAGGCGAGGACGAGAAGAAGAAGGAAGAAGGAGGCGATGTTGAAGCCAGCCAGAAGAAGGATGATGCGGAGGCTAAGGCCTCGGAGCCTGAAGATGCCGTCGATGCGAAGAGGCAGCGCCTTGATGATGAAGGTGTCGATGGATTGGGTAATCTCTCTCCCTCCCATTCGATTATTGGATTCTCGGCTAGGGTATTTTTTCTGGGTTAGGATTTCTGTAGGAGTTAGCCCATCGGTATCATGAATCTCTATAGGTTGTAACTTGTTTTGTGCATGATATACTTACATATCAAGTATAATGTGCTTGATTCTTGATTGTTCATGATTTTGGCATTGATTTTCAGGGATTTGATGCATTTATTATATTGTTAATTTCAGTGTTTGTAATTTTGGCTTTTGTCCTTATCTTTAAGCATAATCCTATGGCAAGTTGCATATTAGAGTAATTTGCTTAGTCTCTAATTAACAGCTTCCTGTGTGTGATATAACCTGTTGTTTGCAAGCAGGACCAGTTGATAAGCATGAAAACATATATTTTAATATTGTATTGGCTAATTAAATAGGGAAAATATTTATCTACTCTGATATCTTCTTTTCTTAGGTGCAGATGGAGGCCAAGATGTCCAGAAAGAAGATGCCCAACTGGCAGGCAATGACCAACATCCTAATACAGAGAAAGCCATATCTGAACCTGTTGAGACTGTTGAAAAATCCACTGAAGATCTTTCTCAACAACACAGTCTTCCTTTCGCAGGACAACAGGAGACGTCAAGGAAAATTGAAGTCCCTAACAATAAGGTGATTGATTATGTGCCATTTTATGAAAATATACTGGCTAAGAATTGGCAAACAAATCCATGGAATTAACTTTTGCTTCTTATGTATAAAAATTACTTGTGTTGTGGCAGTGCTGCAGTAATATGTGCATAGTAACTAATGAACATTTTTCTTTATGTTTGTTTTTCAATTTCATATACTTAGCGCTGTAAAAAGCGATGAATAGCGGCGCTATAGAGCCGTGAATAGCGGTCGCGGGGCTTCACCGCGCCGCATAAGGGGTTTGCGGGTGGTTTAGGCGGAGAAAACAGCTATTTGCTCGAATAGCGGGGGAATAGTGCGATTTAGCGGTGAAAAGCGGAGAAAAATGCTAAATTCCGCTACAGGAACTAAAAAACATCTCCCCGAACCCGGCCCGAACCCGGCCCGAACCCGACCCGTCCCGTAACCTATTACACTTAAACCCTCTCGCCTCTCATTCCCGAATCCAAGTTTGCCCTAGCCGCCTCTCTCCCGAGTCCCGATTGTGCCTCTCTCGATCAACGTCGTCATCGCCTCCGACGACGACTTCCAGCGTCGTGAACGCTGTCGCCGGTGACGACTTCCAGCGCCGACTCCCGCACCAACAACGATGACTCACCTTTCTCTCAAACGAGGATTGACTAAGGCGGAAAAATATGCGGAGCTCTGGCGTGTCTGTCAGCGGCGTTGGATTAGCTTGCTGCCGAGGTGATTTATCTGATCCCTTCTCTAATTAAGGTTAGGGTTTTTGAAACTATCATCGGTTATTTGATTTTTTTTTAAATCAGCTTTTGAGACCGTTAGCTTGTTTTTTCATGGCTAAGGTTAGGATTAATCAGATTAATACGTGTTTATGTTGTTTTTTCTTGTTGATTTGTGCTTCCAGTCAAAAAAAGCCCTTTTTGAGATAAAATTAGGTTTATGGTTATTTTTTCCTTAACAGTCTTGTTTTAGGTTGCAATAATTGTTGGTTAGTTGATAATTGTTGGTTAATTAAACAATACAATTGTCTTGTTGAAATTATACTTTGGTGATTTGATATTAAACTTAGGGTTTAGATTGTTCTGGTGATTGTGGAGTTCGTACTATGTTTAATTAAATTAGCATGTCTCGGTAGTCATTGTGTTTTTGGTTTTCTCTTTGAGCGTCTGATAAAAAATGACTCTTTTCTGGTCAAATTGGGCTTTGGGTTAGGGTTTTTGAGTTTTATTTGTATTTTGGGCTCCTGTCTTACTGGGGAGCTATTGATGAAGAAGATCCATATGCAGAAGACAAAGGTGAAGAGCCAACTCTCAAATATGATGGAATAAGAGGATGCAGGGTTTAGTAACTCCTAAGTTGGTATGAAAATAAAACAATTTATAGATACCCATGTGTTGCACATAAAGTACTTTATTGAGATTACTATGTTGAATAGAATTATTCATCCCAAACTGTGCCAAATGTTAATACATGTCATTTACATAATTTTTCATTCTCATGGTATTTACATAATTTAATCAATGCTTTTTATTGTTGAGCATTTTTATATTAGAGACTTGAAAGTTGAAGAAATGAGACAAATAATGGTCTTTTTGATAAACTAGTACGTTTTTTCATTCTTTAATCTTTATAATTATAGTACTTTGTTAATTTTATGTAATTATTACACATCTATTTCATGCTTAGGCATCAAGTATGCATTTGTAGAATTTTTAGAATTTTAACATAATTTTTCTTATTATTTAGAATATTTAAATATATTTATATTTAATCACTATTTCGCCGCAATAGCCCGAAATAGCCTTAGCGGTACCTCGCCGCGATCTGCTATCAGCAACCTTGCATTTACTTCAGGATGCTACAATTCCGTTCCATTTTGCTAATAAACATCATTCTTTTAAGTTTTCATTTTTAATTCACTAGGTATTCTATGCGTTACACAAGTTTATCTAATACTGAATTTTGTTAACCCGTAAGCCTTTTTGATAACACTAGAGTATTGTTTTTTCCAAACATATCTTAAATTTGTCATACAGTATAGTGAGATTGAGCTTCTCTTGATTATTTGACAAATGTGCAAAATCTTTGGAGCTGCGTTACACAAGTTTGCCTAACACTGAATTTTGTTAACATTCAAGTCTTTTTGATGACACTGGAGTATTTTTTCAAACACATCTTAAAATTGTCATATAGTATGGTGAGATAGAGCTTCTCTTGATTATTTGACAAATGTGCAAAATCCTTGGAGCTTCCAAGCGTAAAAGCATGCACAAAATGGACATGGTTTTGAAGAAGATACATAAGCCTGAGATTGAATAGTTGGGAGAAGGTTAGGTGGCAACTATTTTTATAGCATGGTTTGTTTATTGTCAGGATTCTGTCCTTCTGCAGGGTCTTATTTGCCCTTCGAAATGTCTGCTTCCAGCAACACTCTTGCGTAACATAAGAGAGAATATAGAAAACTCTCCAGAGCCTGGACATTTTAAAGTGTGTGAGAGTTGTGTTACTGGGATCTCTTGAGCAGTCATACATGGAGTGAGCATACAGATAATGACAAATAAAAAGAAAATTCCAAAGTGAACATAAGATATATTGAAACACATTCACTTGCACATCAGCATTTCAGATAAATGAATTGGGACAATTTCTACCCTCTGTGAAGTTCTATATATTCTCTTTTACGTTTATGATGTGGTAAATAGAGTCAAAAGTTGAAGGATAGCTTCTGCTGATTGAGTAATATCTCTTATGTAGGTGGGTGTTCTCATTGGTAAATCTGGGGAGACAATCAGGCTGTTACAGAGCAATTCAGGTGCAAGAATTCAAATAACAAGAGATGCTGAAGCTAATCCAAATTTATCCACAAGGCCTGTTGAACTGACAGGAACCCTGGAAAATATCATCAAGGCCGAACAACTGATAAAGGACGTCATAGCTGAGGTTGAATGACTATTAGCAGCTATTTTCCGTCTAATAATTGCATATTTCTACTTTTGCAAACTGGTTTGCATTTAGACTTATGTTATGCAAGTCCTTATTTGTGTTTTGTGTTTCAGGCTGACGCGGGGGGTTCCCCTGCACTAGTTGCCCGTGGATTTGGTGCTACGCAATCTGGTTCAGAGGTGCATGAGATGCAAGTTCCAAATGAAAAGGTGAAGCTAGTCTGCCTATCACCATTAGCTCTCTCTGCTTGTAGATATTAAATTTCTTAAAATATAGGTGGGAGTAATCATTGGAAAAGGTGGTGAGACCATCAAGGCCTTACAAACCAAATCCCAAGCTCGTATTCAGGTAAGATTTGCCTTTGCAGGTCACATTGAAATAAGAAAATAGATCATGGTATTGTTGCTGCTGCAATTCCTAGCATTTTTTCACTGAATAGTTTATGTTCTCTATGTTCCTTAGTTGATACCTCAACATCTTCCTGAGGGTGATTCTTCCAAGGAACGAATTGTGCGAATAACTGGAAACAAAAAACAAATAGAAGCAGCAAAAATCATGATCAGGGATGTCATGGCTCAGGTATATATAATGATGTGTCTATGCTTTTATATACACTAACTTATAAATTTGTTCTTGCTTAAATTTGTTATTTTCTTGAGATTTTGTGCATGTGGTCTGGGCCCATTCACATATGTTTATTGCCTTTTATTTCGTTTGTTATAAGTGACATCATTAACTAAATCTTCTGCATTCTTATTATTGTCTTCTGTCATCTTTTTATTGTTCAGCAATTCACTTTTGGGGTCTTTGAAGACTTAACATTAACATTTGACACTAGCACAATTTTTTAAGGGTTAACTCCACAGAACACCCATGAACTGTGGGAGGTTTTGCATTTGACTAACATGAACTTTAAAGCATCACTAAATTACCCTGGACTTTGGGGTGTCCCTCAAAACCATCCTAGTCTCTCACGATTTTCATATGGAACCCCTAAAGGTGTTACTGGTCAATAATAAGTGACAGAATACCCTTTCTGAAATTTATCCCTAATCAAATGGGTTTTAAATTCAATTAACTTGTACTTATATTTAATTAACTGTTAATTATGTTTAAAGAGAGAAAGGGAGGGCCATCGCCAGTCGGGGACCTCCGTTAGGGGGGAGTGGGGCTAGAGAGTGATCATTAGGATTAAGACTAGGTTAGCTAGATAAGAGAAAGAGGGGTATATATGCAAAATGGAAAAGATTTAAAGGTGTATATGCAGAAAAATCCTTACT